ATTTACTCATTGGTGACTGATTTCTCACTGCTGTCTCACATGTCAGAAATGACAAAGGAGCTCTCTCAGGCCATTGTTATAAGAGCAGTAATCCCATTCATGAAGGTTATTCCCTATGACCACCTTTAACCCTTATTACTTCCCAAGGACCCTACTTCCTAATATCATATCAGGGAGGAAGAGTTTCAATATATGAATGGGCAGGGGATGAGAGGGAGACACAAACATTTAGTCCATAATTGTCTTTGATTTCTTCTCTCATAAATATTTATCAGATTTTTATATCAGTGTTACACTGATCACATAAAATAACTTGGGAAGCATTCCCTTCTCTATTTTATGAAGGAGCTATGACTGATACTCTTTCTTTGTGTATGATAGAATTTAATGATGGAACCATTTTGGTTTGTGTGTGTGTGTGTTGTAATTACAAACATGACTATTTAATTTTTCACTTCCTCCTGAGTCACTTTTTGTAAGTTGTGTTTCACAAAAGATATGTTCATTGCATCTCGTTGCCTAATTTATTGGCACAATTTGTTCCCAATATTTTATTTTCCTATTTAAAAGCATTAATATATGATAATCCTTTTTCACTTGTAATTTTGGTCATTTGTATTTACCACTGTTTCCCAATTTCTTCTGTTGGGACTTACTGATTTTATTAATTTTTCAAAGAATGAATTTTGAGCTTTGTTTTTTTTATTCTAAACCATGAACTTCAAACACTGATTTTATTATTTTCCTTCTTTTGTATTTAAATTCCTCTTCACTGTCTCATTAGGTAGAAACTTAATTATAATTTTTAAGACTTCCTCCTCTTCTATTATAGGACTTTAAGCAATACATTTCTCTTTAAATATTGTCTGTGCTGTATCCCATAAATTTTGATGGGTTGTACTTTTATTCTTTATGATTTCATCTTTAAGCCATAATTTACTTTAGACATGTCTTTAACTTCCAAATGTCTGAAATTTTTCTTAAAATAGTATTGACTTCTGATTTAGAAGTCATGTTATAGTCAGAAAATACACTCTCTAGTGTACAAATCTTTGGAAATGTATTGAAATTTAGTTCATAGTTTAGTATGTACGTTGATGACCATTCCATATGTACTGTAGTACATGTGTAAACTTGAGTACTGAATATTTTGAGGTAATATTGGTTTAACTGATATTAAACACCAGCTTCAGTTTCCCTCAGCAAATAAAAGGAAAGAGAATTTGAGGAGATATAGTTTAATGCACTGAAAAAATGATTGTTCAGCAATTGTTGGACACAGTTTGATAAATATCAGTGAGTTCAAGTTAGTTAATAGTGAGCTCAGGCTTATTTTTGTCTGATTGTAATGTTTTTACAATTGATAAAGTACTAATAGTGTAAAACTCCAATTATTTTTATAGTCCTATCTTTTTTTTTTGCTTCATGAATTTTGATTTTGTTTTTGGACATATATATATTTATGATTATGTATTCTTAATGTGATTTGTATTGCACTTGTGATTTGTAAATGTTCCTTTATCTTCTATAATATGTTTTATATTAAAGTCTAATTTTTCTGATATTACTATTACCACACCAACTTTCTTATGCCATTTGCCTGGATTATCATTTTCTGCTCTTTTAAGTCAATATACATGTATTTTAAATTTGAAATGTATCTTTAATCCATGCATAGACTTCTGTACTGAATACTTAGAGGTAACACTGGTTTAACTGATGGTGAATGTCAGCCTCAGTTTCCTTTGGCCAATAAAAGGAAACGGAGTTTGAAGAGAAATAGTTTAATTTGTGAACGAATTGAGGTAGGCAGCAGACTCTTGTCTAAAAGACCACCTTACTGCTCTCTGGCAGAGGGCAGGAGTATTTTTACAAATGAGTCAAACAAAAGGGAGTTGGGCAAGAGTCAGCATGTCCTTTTGATGCTGGCATACAAAGATTTCCTCAGGTGAGCACCAGCACACTTTGTTAACGAACGCCTGATGTTTAACTTCCTTAGATGTTAAACTTCCTTATTAGCCTCTTAGGAATGCCCTTCCTTTTTCCGTAGAATGCAAGAAGACAAACTCATTCAATGAGATATATAGGAATGCTTATCTGATGGGACAGGAAGAGAGATATCCTATCTCACTGCTTCATAACCACACTGTACAAATTGTTGGGTACAAATTCCAGATCTTTAAATGTATGACACCATACCACACCCATTGCAAAGTTCTAACAGCCACCCACCAATGGACAATCAACCTTCCTCCTATATGTTCCTCCCATTCTCCACCCTTTCCTCTCTGGTAACCACCGTTTTGTCAGAATTTAAGCGTTGTTTTTACTTGATAGTTTCTTTGCTTTTACTCTTTATATCCTGGAAATAAGTGAAATCGCCTGACATTTGTCTTTCTTATTTATTTGGCTGAGTATAATCAACTCAAGTTCCATCCTGTTGTCACAAATAGCAAATGTGGTATATCTTTATCCTGGCTTCCTTTAATGGGCACTTTATTGTTTCCTTGTCTTAACTATTGTAGATAGTGCTGTTGCATGGTTATGCAATCTAGCAATCTCTGCCTTCATTTTGGACGTTTTACATTTATGTAGTTAATGTTTTATATAATTATTGCTAGTGTGTATTTAAACTTATCTACTATGGCAGCAGCAAATGGAATTTGTTTTCATCTCTTCCATTTTTTTTTTAATCTTGTTGTTTCTTCCATTGCTATTTTATTTCTGTTTCATCTATTGTCTGAGCTCCTTTCTTAAATTAATGTTTAGTGTTCTTCTTGGATAGGTTATTTTTAACTTATCACAGTCTATTTCAAATAAAAATTATATAGCTTCACACTTTACACTTAACACCACTTCCTTTTTCACACTTCACATGACATCTCTTCACACTTCATATTTTATAGACTTAGTAGCATTATGATAGTATCACCCTATTTACCATCACTTTCAACTTGTGTGATTTTTAGTTATCCATTTACTTCTACATATATTACAAATCAATGCAGATGGCATGTGGCAATATCTGAAGATTTTTTTTTTGGTTACAACATGGAACTACTGGCATTTAACAGATAGAGGCTGTTATTAAACATCCTGTAACACATAACATAGTTGTACACAAGAATTCTCTAACCAAGATATCCATAGTGCAATACTGAGAAACATTAGTCTAACATGAGTTTAATCATGGTCCTTACTTCTGTGACTTTCTTCACTACACGAGTTCTCATGTACCTGGTATGCCCAATGTAGTCAAGCTTTGTATATGCCTTTTCTTCATGGGAAGATTTGTAGCATCACATTACAAGGCTGTTAGTGAAGAAATGTGAAGAATTTGTGGCCATTTTTACAGAATAGCCAAGTTGCTGCTAGTTCTAGTAATTTTTAGTTCATATCCTTTCTTAATGAAAATGTGTCCTTTCTTTCAAGCATTGACCTTGATAAGTAAAATCTTAATAAATGTAGGAACTATATCATCATCATATTTTAATTATGAGTTATGTAATTTTATGGGCGATTTTGTTGAATGTCAGATTTTTTAATTCAAAAAAGTTTAATGAGCTAAAAGTAAAAAAGCTATCTTATACATATTGGCCATATACCTGTAGAATTACCCTTTTGATTAGGAATTTATTAACTCATATAGATATAAATAATATTGTTGACATGAACATAACTATTTGCATTACATTTCATTAACATCTTCATTTTCAACCAACTGTTGGCTTCTCCTAGTAAGGAAGATTCATGACAGCACATTTTAAATCAAGGAAACAAGTAATAAGTGAAAGGTTTGAAATCAGAAAACACATAGCCTTCCCAAAGGAGTGTTATAATAAGTTACCATTGATCATCTATACCACCCTAGTTAGATCACAAGATTTTCAAGGTTCCTCTTCCGCATATTTGTTCTCCAGCTCCAGATGGCCTTTGGTCTTGTAACTCAGAGCCTACACTACCCCACTGCCTTCTTACCCACAAATCTTCCTAAAAGCTTTGTTTTAGTCCTAAAACAAAATTCAGGCTCAATTCAGACACAGGTATTACCAATGTTGTTTTCATCACTGTGCTAACTTTTTTCTTTAATATTTATTTATGCATATAGAACTGGGGTTCACAGGCCAGAGGTGCAGGGGCAGTGAGAGGATTCACCACAGAGTGGGGAGCAGAGCAGACAGATCAAGAAAGCACACTGCTGAGGGGAGCAGGAGGTGGGTCAGGAGAGGTCTGCCATGCCATGCGGATCACCTCAAGGTTGGGGATCGAACTCATGCTGAAGTGGCTTTAGCTTCTTAGTGCTGTGCTTTAACCTGCTGCACCACCAAGGATGGCCTATGCCAACTTTTTAATACGTGAATAAGTTCACTTTCACTCTCCCTCTCTTCATTTTATAATGCAATACACAGTTAAAACTAGTAGCCTCACTCTGTACTTCCTTACTTGGGTTGGAATCTACCATACTACCTGTAAAATATAAGTGTTCTGGGAAATTATGAATAGAAAATAAAGACATTCAATATGAATAAGTAGGAAAGATAAAGATAGGCCAAATATTTGGCATAAACAAAATGAAGGTCATACCCAAATATGAACCTGTTTATGGCATTAACTTGACTTTTGTGTCTTTACCATGGTGGGATTATCTTTCATGAGCAACTATGAAGTTATATATTCACTTGACTTTCTATGGGTATTTAATAATGCTGGGTTTTTTTGTTTGTTTGTTTACAAACTCAGAAAATAAGGACAGTTAGATTATCACTGAAATTGCCCTGTAATACAAAATAGTCAGTTTCCATTTGATAGAACAGAAATTAGTGGCTAAACTAATGAAGGTTAGATGGCAATTTTAATATTCATAGCACAAATCTCAATAAAAGAAAGAGAATTAGCTATATCAAAACTTTACACAAATAGCATAAGTATATTTGAATAAACATGTGACAAAAAGCTATTTGAAAGAAGTATTTTCTTCATGCTTATCATTTTCATATTATCACCTGTGAGGTGGATGCTGCATTAGAACTCCCTATTGGACAGTATTAGTATATTATCCCTTAACCTACCGTACACTGTAAAATTGTATACATCTAAGTCTTGACTCAGTGATATTTATAAGGAAAATATGGCATTCTATAGCTAAATACTTGGGATATCTAATCTCTGCTTATTTTATTCCCTCTAATTATGCTTTGATTTTTTTTAACAAAAAATACAACTGTTTTCTCAAAAAATTACAAAATTAGTGCTTTTAGAGTTCATATTTATTCTCCAATTACCTTTATAGATCTTACAGACAGATAATCTTGATATATTTATTACATTCAGCAACATCAAAAAATTCTACAACTCTGGTGTCATACCAATAATTACTAAAAAATCAAATAAGCAATTTTATAATACATTAATTTATAATATCAGCAATTAAGGAGAGTGGAATTACAGTAACAATAAGATAAAACCTATGTATTAAGACATAGACAATGTAACTTAGTATCTCAAGCATTTTTCTACATGACATTCATACAAATTTTGAAAGTGAGAAGCACGTTAGCCAGTTATCAATAATCATGCAAAGGAAAAGTGCCTATTTTGGTAAAAGTATACATTCAGCTCTCTTACTTGACATTGTGTGGCAGTCATAATTTCCAAAGCATTAGAAATCAATATTACATATGCCTCGAGCTTTTTTAAAGATGATCAGATTAAGATACCCTCATTTCAAGAACTAAGGTCATTAAATTTATCATCACTTGAGATAGCGCACAAGAATTGTTGAACCTGAGGCCCAATATCAAACTCCTAGATGAACAGCGACATCTAGTGGTCACTAGTGGTGTAAAATTAAAACAAATGCTGCTCTCCTACTAATTGTTGTTGGAATGATTCTATTCTGGAGATTTTAATTTTTGTAAACAGGGAACATCCAGTTGATCAAAATTTTCTAAAACAACTGGATAATTAAGGGAGTCATAGAATCATTTTACCATCAAAAATGTACTGTTTCCTAGGTAAGACGGTTTCCTATTAGTGAAAAAGTCAGCACATTCTTTAGCTATTTTGCAGTCAATCTGAGTTAATCCAAAGCAAGCGTTGTTCACTGGAACCTTAGCTCAGCTTTCTCTGTATTCTCCACCAGAGACCTGAAACTATTCTTAAGACCTTTTGGCCTTGAGAAATCTATCTTCCATGTCACCATGAAACATTTTTCCTAAGCACGTACTGTGTGATAAAGTTTTGTGATTGCTCATGGATACACTCATTACAGATGGAATGAGTCTCCCACCCCAGAAAGCCGAGACAGACCTGAATGAATACAGGGGGGCGTCAGCATCTATACAATTATTTGATCCTATAAAACAAATGCCCATGGCTAAGACTAAGATTCTCTGTAATCTTAGAGGCTTTCTTGATGATCAAAAATAGATGCAAGCCCAGGATAAGAGTTTTTGCACATGAGCCTCCCACATGAGCCTGTTTAGCCCAGGACCATCAAAATATCTATTACCCAGTTATTTACTGTGCTAGTGAGTAGCTAGGACATTCATCTACATGCCAGTTGTGCGCATAAAAGGGATGTGGCCCTCCCCCCAGTCACTGAAGACAACTGTCCATAGGAAACATTTGCCACAGGTACCATCAAATTGGAGGAAAGTTGGGGGTTGCGGGGGAAGGAACCACATTTTTTTTAAATATCCCTTTGGTTTCAGGTAAATGCCAGGCTGTCATGTTCCAGTGAGCATCTCATATACAGATATAAGCAACTAATGCACTAAATCAATGAGTGGGGTTTATCAGCATTTGACTAAGGTCAAATGAGTTGCTGTAAATGTAAAGCCTGGGATTCTTTCTAACGTATTACCCACCCCCACCAGTAACTCTCTGGTCCCCTTTTCCCAAAAATTCTCAACAAAAGAAGGATGGATGTGAGGAAGGGACTGTATGTCGTTAAATGTTATGCTTACCAAGGAGCCAGGTGCCATCAGTGGCACTGGAGACACCTGGATGTTGTATTTGATGGCTCTTCACTATTAGAGGCTTCATTCTCCCTCCCTCCCTCCTCTTTTCCTTTATCTCCCTTAGTTCTGCCTAAAACTAGCAGCTAGATAGTATGAAGTACTGCTGTACTCTACTGCTGTCTGATCTCTATGATGTCTAACAAAAATGGTGGCTGAACCCCAGGGAAACACCACCAACTATTCAACTCTCAGCACATTCAGATGTTGAATGGAAGAGCAATGGGCAATCACAGGTTATTACTACAGTCTACTCATAATAACTTCTCCAAAAAATAATTCAGAACTTTAGCTGACATTCTGAGCTAAAACTTTGCTCTCTATCTGACATTATTTATATATCTTGACCTTGCACACAAGTTTTAATGATGGATTACTTCAGATTGGCAAATAAGTCATCTCAAAATTACCAGCTCAGAAAAACATTTTCATTGCCTCCTCTCCCCACATAAACTACCCAATGAGGAAAATAAATTATGTGTGTTACTAGTTGCCCAGGATCATTCTTCACTGAGCCAGGAGAGTACACAGGGTCTTGCTGAAGGGCTGGATAAGTTGCCACCCCTAGGTCCCTACAAACCTAGAAATAACTGGGCCTGGGTCTAAGTGCTAATATCATGTTGCCAAGTCTCTTTCTGAAAAGCATAAAGGCAAAATAACCCATTCCTGCGAGCAAACCAACCACAAGGGTGGTGCCAAGAACTTTTGGGGCCCTTTTCTTGGCCACCCGGAATGCTGTTGGCAGCACTGCAGAGATTAATATATTGTTGACATGTCCTAAAACCTTATTAAATGTTTTTCTCTTCAAGACACGCTCATAATAGGTCTCCAAATTGGGTCGCTTTCCATTTCCCCAATTTCTCCTTGCAAACCCCAGGAACTTCAGCCGATGCAATGTGACAGCAAGAGAGACATCTGCCAAGGTGAAGGCTTCTCCACAGAGCCAAGGCTGGCGTCCCTCTTCTAATCAGAGAAAGGGACATAGAATAGTCAGTGATGGACTAGCACCATTCAGAGGGATTCATGGCTGTCTGTGGTCTCATCTATCTTTTGGCTGCCTTTTTATTTTTTTTTTTAGGGCAAATGTGAGAATACCAAAAAATTAAGGTCACGGTATATTTTCTTAAAGTCACATTGAGTGATTAATTTTATGTTAAAAAAAATCAAGGTCTACACAAATGTATCCCAAGTCTAGGTATCAGTCATCTCAGGTCTCTAGGTGACTCACAGCACATCTATTGTTGTAAAGGACACTGAGGACTTGTGAGCCTCTGGGCTCAGGAGCTAAAGGATATTTCCTTCTGGTCTAGGAAAATGGCAAGTGTGATTTAGGGAAATCCATGAAGCTGTTCCTGATATGTCACTCTGATTGCTGCTCTTAGTTGTTTATTTAAAGAAGAGAGTTTCTACTGTAAAACAAGTTTCACACAGAATGGTCTTTTACTCTGTTGTCAACTGTAATAGTGCACATGGTTCATGTAGGCCCACCTGGCCTTACATGAAGTCAGATGATAAGTATAATCCAGGCTTACTCGCCAGTCAGCCTGCACACATATACATGCTTTAGTTTGGGGGTTATCTCCCTAAGTGAAATATCAGAGCAAGCATTCAGTTACCCAGGTTAGTCAAGCAAACTAACTACCATAATTACAGATTTTTCAAACAGCTACATAGGAAACTTGTAATCATGATTTAAGATTTTTAGAAAAATCCTTCACCACTCATAGGTCATATCGATGCAGAGTTACAGTTAGACCTGGATTTTGCTGAGTTAAATATTCTTGTTATCATATTTAACTGTTTGTGAATAATGAAAAAAAGAAAGGAAACATGGGCTACAGAACATTTTTTTACACATCTAAGACTATTTCTCTAAATGTTTCTGGTGTTAAGGCAAACAGAAAAAGAATACAATTGAGAACCTACCTGGGGTTTCTTCGTTTCTTCTTTGCAATTCAGTTTCAACCTGATCCAAGACTTTCTCCAATTCATCAAGTATCTTCTTCAAATATTTTATATTGTCATGGTCAAGCAGCTTTGACTAATTAACAAAAATAACTAAATGGGTTATTTAAGCCTGTAAAAAAAAGTCTGTGAAGAGCAAAACAGATGTAAATGCTTATAGAGTTAGAAACTTTATTTTAAACAAAAAGGGGAAAAAATAGAGTTAAGTTGCTTAAATAAAGATAGTGTTGGGGGAAAAAATCACCAGAGGGCCCAGCCTCACTGCACCCTGGCTACTGTTGTGGGACCAGATGGCCAGGGAGGGCAAAAAATAAAAGCACAGAGAAACTCCTGTCATCCAACAAAAGAATGGTATTTCAGCAGAGTAAATGATCTTAGATAGTGGAAAGGATGAGAGAAAAAAACAAATGCAGTGAGTGAGAGAGTGCATAAAAATAAGGAGCTTGCTGTGTGTGCAGGCATTACTTTTGAGAAGATCATTTAACTAAAATATGGCAAAGAAAAATGGCAGGTGGGAGAAGGTTAGAAATATTGATGTTTCTCACAGTTTTCATGTGAGAAACTATGTTGTTGACCCTCAGGGAAAGAATTGACAGAAAGAAAAAGAATATCACTGATAAAGCAAAGTCATCCTCCTTGGGAGGAAAACAATCTTAGGCAGGGCTAGGTAGGCCTTAAAGTGGCCATGCCTGAAATCACAGGTACCTAGAATATTGTATTAACCTGCTTTTGTAATTTACAACTTTCCTTGAACAACCATCAAGCAGAAAATCTGCTTCTTAAGTGACCATTTTTAGGTTGGAGCATCAAATCTAATAAAGAAAATTCTTTCTAAAGCAGAACAACAGTCAAAGCTAATGTACACTGATGACTTGAATATCTGATAGAACACGTTCTAGAAACAGCAGTAATTACAAAAACACACAACAACTTAATGCAAATGATGTCAACTGAACACAGCCTGCTTTACTTACTTTAAGTCGCTTCTGCTTGGCAAGGTATGCCTCTTGTAAATCTGGGTTTTCTTCAGCAAGTTTTTTTAGCTCAGACTCTGTGTTACCAATTTGGCCTGATGATAAAATTATTTTTGAAACAGAAAATTATTTCCATCTTTTTATGCTAAAAACTAGAGGGGAAATGATGATATGAGCTGTGGGGTTCATGCCCTGCTCTGCCTTGGACAGATCCTCTCCATGCCTCAGTTCCCCCACCTTTCAATGGATCTCCCAGAGCACCTGCCACATGGGTAGCAGGGAATTGGAAGCACCACAGGAAATACTTAGAGCAAAGCCCAGCACACCCATGTGCTCAGTGCAGGACGCCTGTTCTACCTTTCAATACATGTCAGGTTTTCTGCAATAAACCTTTATAGGAAGTTAAGGGGGAAACCTTATTTAAGAAAATTAGCAACTCTCAGTAACAGAATTGTAATCAGAATAATTATGAAGAGCAAAAGGAGGAATAAAAGAAAGGGGAGAGGCAAGAAGAAAAATGGAGAAGAGGAGGGAAGAGAGGAGAGGAGGAAAGGTATCAAAAAAAAGAAAAATAATATAAAATGAAGTATGATGTACAGAGTTTCTATTTTTAAATCTGTACTGTTCCTTGTAAAACTGACTCAAAGTCCAATCACAGCCACCATCCCTCACCCTAAATTACCTGTATCATCAAGTACACATCCTTCTGCTCCATGTCTTAAAGACTGGCCCTACTCTGCCAGGACAGGAGGAAAGGAGAGAACTGGATATCACCACTCAACTCAGTAATATCTCTAATCTGAATTTGAAGAGGACTAGTGGTTCGATACCCTGCAGTCCTGCTCCCTTGGGTAGTAAAACAAAAATTAAGGCCAAGTGTGAACCTATTCCCCTAATAGGTAAATCATATACAGTGTCATACTGTTACCTCAATAAAGAAAAAAACATATTTCAAAATAAAGGTTATATTAAAAAATGTGAACGCAGATACCCATAATTGCCAACAGAGTCCAGCTTTCCTGATTCCCAGTTCATCTATGCATTTTGCCACAGGCTGTTTCTCTAAGGCTTATCCAAGCTTGGCCCTCAAACTCAAGTGCTATAGACAGTGACTATTCAGCTGAAGAGTTAAGCCAGATTAAGCAGACTAGTAAAGGCCTGATCTACAACATGGACACCCATGAAGCAAATTTTATGACTCTAATCCCAGTATTTGCTCAGTGAACAGGAGATGTGCTATGTCTCAGAAATGAACTGAAAGAAACTTAACTGCAGATCTTTAAAGTTTTTACATACTGCGAATCCTTGTTGTTGCATAAGCTGGGATCATGGAGTCCACTGTTAACTCGGGATGTAAAATGCAGCCATGTGTATAAGCATCCATTGGCAAGGAGTCCAGCAGCTCTCGATAATGCTGGACCCGTGGGTAATACATGCTTCCCTGGTCAGGCATTAACCTGGGTGTTTTTTCTAAAATGCACACATAGATACACAAGAAGGAAACGTTACAAACAAGATATTATATCAAATGCAAACACAAAAACCCCCTCATCATTAACCTATATCAGAGCATTTCAGATTGTCTCTCCACCCAAAAATTCAAACTTTGAAATTTCCTGATGTACCAGTCCAGATCCAAAACCATAATCACAATGGTTTTCTCTAGCTTCTCTACCTTGCAAATTGCTATTTAACTTTCAAGGGCCAGGTATAATAAGCACCTCCTCCACGGAGCATTCTCTGGCTTCCTACAACTGCCAATATCTGACTGGATCAGAAGTGCTCTGTGCTACACAGGCAAAATGCCTTGTACATACTCCATTATAGTCTTATCACTTTAATTATATCTTCTCATCCTATGAATCCCTTCAGGCCATGAAACCAATGTTCTAGCATCGAGCATATAGTACCTCCAAATTTTTAAGCCCTTGATGAAGGCTAGTTAAATGAATGATAGCTTCTTAGGGAAGATAAGCAGGGACATTATCTTCTAGACTCCAACAAATATCAAGATTGATCCTTTTGATACTGTATGCATATGATTTTCAGTTTCCATGGCATGCACAGGGAATACCTAATATTTTATCTCTGGGAAATAGGATCTGTATAGATCTTCATTTGCTGTCTTAAATAGAGATTTCTTGAGGGAAGAGACCATATTCTGGTCTCTGTTGAATACCCAGCGGGTAATGTAATGTTTGGTTTATAGTAGGTTTTCAGTAAAATTTAGTTAATAAATCAGTTAATGGATATACTCCCAAGCTTCTAATTATAGGTTACTTGAGCTAGAGAACCATCTTAGCAATTAATGAGAACATTGAGTTACAGAAGCCAACAAGTTCTCCCAAGATTCCATAGCTAGAGACAGAACAAGAACTAATGTCATCTAACTCCTAATGCAGGCTCTTTTATCACATACCATCTTGAAATAGTTTATTTTTTAGAGACTCTCCAAGAAGAATAAGTGTGACCTAAATGTCAGGGTTTCATCCCTTCCTAATAACTTTCTACTTCTGATTCTCAAACTGCCCCTGGAAAATGCCAACAAACTTATTCCAGTAAGTGAAAAGAACCATCTTAACCTTATTCTTTTTTTGTTTTGTTTTGTTTTGTTTTAGTTTGGAATATATATATTTAATTTAGAATCCTTTTGAGTATCCCATGCTCATTCATAGATGATGACAATTCTGTTATCAACAGAGCATTTCAGTCTCATTTCATAATGCCAGACCAAGTAGAACGAGATATTTAGTCAATAGGTTATTTCTGACTCTCTTAGAAAAAAAGGACAAAGATTATTCTTCACACCAATAGGTAAATATTTAGTTCCCTTTTGGGGAGTTCAACTCTGAGACTGTGAAAGAATAACCAAGAATGAAACATCAGCTATTTACTGTCCACTAGTTTTACCCAAGTACAACACAATTTCTACTAAGTGTAAGTAAGCAGGTCTAATAACTACCATCATCAATGTAGTTGTGAACATAACTGCTACTTTAATATACCTACAATAACTTGATATGCTAGGAATATATCTGTGGTTTCTGGTAATAAAAAAAAGTCACAGGCACTTTTCATATTGCTGTGCATTGTTCCTATTAGAAATAAAAGGAAAATGGGCCCTCCCTGGTGGCACAATAGGTTAAAGCATAGCACTATGAAGTTATCACAGCCACTGCATCATGAGTTAGATCCCCCACCAGGGGGTGACCCACATGGCGTGGCAGACCTCTCCTGACCCAGCCATAACTCCCCTCAACAGTGTATTTCAGTCAATCTGCCTGTTCTGCTCCCCATTCTGTCTCTGGTGAATTCTCTAACAAAGCCCTCTCTGCACCTTTGGCCTGTACCCCAGTTCTGTATGCATAAATAAATAAGTTTTAAAAAAAGAAAAAAAGGAAAGGAAAACATAAATTCATAAATTTCTGTTGGAGATTAATGACAATAAAGATAAACTTTTTGCCCTCTGAGATGCTTTAGCATTCTATTCGCAGGTCTCTATATGTATTCTGACGGTCACTGGGTAGCCTTAACATATTCCCAGGGAATCCACAAACTCAAAGCTATTTTTAGAATAACACTAAGGTGCAAATTGCTTTGTCACTTGTATTCTCACTCCTTTGGGAGATTTCCAGGTGCTAAACAGCACACTATAACTCCATCATGCTGATAGTTAATGGGATGTGTGTTTGTGTATTCTTGTGTTTTAGATTTTTCTGTTTTAATTTTAAAAATGGTTTAAAAAATAGATACAACACACATAAATAAAATTCTCAGAGTATCCTTAATTTTAATATGAAGGGGCCCTGAAATAAAAAAAAAGGTTAAGAACCACTGTTCAAAGGGTCTCAGAACCTTAGGTTAATAAATACAATGTTATGAAAATTTTAAATGCCAGCCAATCACTCGGTTTATGGCTACTGTCTCTGATTGCTTTATGGTATCAGGCCAGGGGCTTGTATCAGAAAGGCAAACTACTTCCTTTCTGGAAAGTGAGTAAGAGCAGGAAAATCATCTAATTGCATTCTTGGGGAGTTCCATCAGGCCAAACCTGAATTCTTCAAAGGAGGGCAAACGTTTATTTTTTTTTTTTAAGATTTGTTTATGCATACAGATTGGGGTAAAGGCCAGAGTAGCAGGTGCGATAAGAGGATTCACCAGAGACAGAGTGGGGAACAGAATAGGCAGATGGATGAAGTACACTGCTGAGGGGAGCAGTGGTTGAGTGAGGAGAGGTCTGCTGCACCAACTGGGTCACCTCCAGGGCCTGAGATCAAACTCACACTGAAGCAGCTGCAGCTAGCTTGCAGTGCTGTGCCCTAACCCACTGCACCACTAGGGAGGACTGGCAAATGTTTAAATCCATGAAAATAATTTTCTTCTACTCAGCACACCATTGCTATATAGCTATCTCCTAAGATACTTTGTCAGGTAGTATGTTAAATATCCAGTGAACCCAAATTCTCTCCCAGGCTCATTTTTCTTCAAAAATGTCCCATCTGTTGCCACACATGCAGTGTGCTGTCACTCTCTTCACACCAGAGCACAGTTATCTTCACTGCCTCTGGAAAAGGAGTTTTTCAAAAACAACTGGGAATGTCCTTCAAACTTTACAGGGGAATCTATCCTCTCACTCTAATTTTATTTTATTTTCCAATCTTTCAGAAAGCAAGTGCTTTCTGATACTGAAAACTCAAAATCTCCTCTTGGTATTCTACCACAATCAGAAGTGGAAGAGCAATAGAAGGCCTACAGGGGCAGGCCAGGAGTCAGGGGCCTTAAGGAAGAAGGTAATGAGAAGATTCCCTAGTCTGCAGTGCTGCTGTAGTGTAAGGCAGGATTAGTGACTAGACTGAAAGACTAAATAAAAGTAAAAACACCAACTTGGCACAAAACCTAATTTCCTAGGAGAACTGAGTAGGGGACAGGGCGGGTTCTATGTTACACCTAAATTCAGGCAGAAAATTAGAAACATATAAAGCAGAGAGATGTGACAAACAACTGTGAGAGAAAAGCAGAGACTTTTCCTTTAATCAGAAAAAAATAATAAAGGCATTATGCAGCCATTTAATGAGTACATACATGGCAAGTCCCCAAAAAGCTTGGAAGAGTTATAATGGCCCTGATCCACTTTTTAAAATTACATTTGGTTTCCCCAAGAGCAAAAAATAAAATGAACTTAAGAATTTAAAAACATAAGCTTCCATTATTTTCCTAAATTCTTCACTCCGACTACCTGCTTTCCCCAGCAATGGCAGGTAAACGATGTATGATTGAGCTTTGTTTTCAAGAAAGATATCCCCCAGGGCTGTTTGAACTACTTTGCAGGTCTTCCAAATCAGCTCAATGAAAGCACAGGAGACTTCTAACACTCCCCCTTTGGTTTTTGCATTTTACTTAAATCATTTAGTGATTATATTCATATACAGATAATATGTATCATATAGCTGAACAAAATCATATCCTTCATCTAAACCTATACCAGGCTATTAAAAACATAACAATGGTAAACAACTAAGTTATGGCCTGAACTAGAAGATAATGATGACAAACTAGAAAGATCAAATCTGAACACAGTTAAGAAGAAACTCACTGTCAGAGTATTTATGTTCACTATATGCTTTCTTCTGAAATTCTTTTTGAGACAAAACCAAATCAGCAACACTATTTTCAGTAAATTTTATATCTCGAATGTTTAACAATTTTTAATTTAATGCTTAGACTTAACCAAAGCATTCTTAAGTGGGGGGGAGGGGAATCCCCTTATCGTTTGTTGCTGTTTTTGAACACACATAATATACAACTAGAGCCTCTGTATTTTAATGGCCCCATCGATCCACTAAAGTTGGACAAATCAGAGTAAAACCAAAAAGCCTTACTTTTTAAAGCCACTATTTTTCACAGAATCATGACTTTTAAAGATTAATTTTAATTTCCCTAACATATACTTTATTTTCTCCACATTGAGGTAGAAACTGTGACTACAATTTCAGGAGCTGTGCTAGGAAGCATGTAAGGTTATTCAGCTCTACCAAGTGCCTTGTTATTGATACACAAAGTTATTTACTATGAACCTTAACTATAACTTACATAAGAGGTTGTTAATGTAACAATGACTTCCAGAATAATGTCCTTTTAAAATAAAATATAATTGACTTTCCAAATGTATTGATAAAACTATATATTTCCTAGTCAGATTTATATGTGATATTTTAACATCACAGCAGAATATGTTGAATACTTAATCAAATTCTAAGTCCTAAGAATACTGTAAATAATACATAGATATAAAACATGGGACATGATTACCTGGAACTATTATAAAATATAGTAAATTACCAAAATACAGTATTTATCATATGACATCCTTAATTCTTGGTTACCTCTGAGTTTTTTTGGCAGTAATAAATAGTATATGATCTAGTATTTTGTAGTTACTTCACATGCACTTTGCATTATCTAGTAGCTAAATTAAAATTCAGTGACAGGAGAGGCTATGAACTGTATAAGAAATATCTGTATTTTCAAATTCATATTAGTGTGTTTCTATTCCCTCTGGCACATCCGCTGTTCTTGAGTATCACAGCATTGCTTATTCTCATACCTCATCTAAGTTAATCAATGGTTGCATTAATGTAACTATTCACTGCATGCCCAGAAAGAAAAAGGTGTCACTTTCATTAAAAAGCAGCTGAGTAGTGGCCCTCCCTGGTGGCGCAGCGGGTTAAAGCACCGCACTGAGAAGCTAAAGCCACCTCCGCATGAGTTCGATTCCCGCCTGCCCCGGAGGCGACCACATGGTGTGGCAGACCTCTCCTGACCCGCCCGCTGCTCCCCTCAGCAGTGTACTTCCTCGATCTGCCTGTTCTGCTCCCCACTCTGTCTCTGGTGAATCCTCTCACCCTCCGCATCTCTGGCCTGTACCCCAGTTCTGTACGAATAAATAAATCTTTAAAAAAAAAAAAAAAGCAGCTGAGTAGTAATAATAGCACATGCATGTATTACAGAGAGGCTTGGCTTATTAAGTTTAAATAATGAAATTGTCTTTGCTGACTAGTAAACTTCTAATGACTTGGGGTCTTTGAAATGTCCCAGGACCTTGACCATTTAACACTGACCATTTAGCAGCAACTGAAATAACATATGAAACAATACCTCTGAGACAGGCCTTGATTGAGCTACCATAGCTGAAGACTAAATGCTTCCTTTGATCTAGTCTAATCTCAGAAATATCACTGAAGTCTCACCAGTGTTGCATATAACTGCTTTCAAGGAAATAAAAGATAGCAATCACCCAACTTCGATAATCACTTCTTTAGGCAAAATCTCATAAAGGACTGCCTTGGTTTTCAAATTAATCCCCCAAAACTACCACTTACTTAATGAACTCATTGCATAAGCTTAATTTGTAAATGTGTAACTAATGACTATGCAGTATGGTTGAGAAAGGTCTACATGTCAGCAAGTCATCATTTTTAGTACAATAACCAGCTGATAGCTTCATAAAGGGTTACAAAGAGCAAATGACAACAAAAGAGATACCAGTTCACTATGCTGTTCATTAAATGATTGGATATACTTAAAGTTTCCTAGTATAATTGTAGGCAACTATATATTTCATGAAACCCATTCACTTGTTAACATTCTAATTTACCAGTGCTCCTCAAATTTCAATGCTTAATTAGACAAAAAATGTTCACGTTCCAGGCAGCTCAGATATACCATGTTCTGAATAGATGGACACTTCTGAAACAACTGGTGACACACAGGCCTTTAATACTATTACTAGATTTTATTGATAACTTATTAGCAAACCAGGTCACCCACCTTTCCAATTGAATAACTAGTCTCTTGGAAAAGAGAGAAAGTGAGATAAGAAATGATTTGGTCTGCTTTATCTCTGCAACTGATAAAACCATATCCAGAAAGACAAAAGTCATCAAGAATGTACAACAGGTTAATGACAGCTTCAGAGCAAGAGCTAGGATTCTTGATTGCTCATTTGCTCTATTGGTATAACCAGAAGGAAAGTCCTTAATTTCCATATTATCATCTCAACATTTAGCACACACTGCCTTTTCCTCTAATTCAGTAAAGAGTAATTAAGAGAAAGAACCCTACTAGATCTTTGGTGGGGGGTGCCTTTATGACATACACTTATCAATGTGTATGGCTATACTTCTGTAACTTAGGTAGTTCTATAAATCAATGATATGTCAATGTAAAAAAACAAAATAACAAGAACCTAGTATTTCCCTTAATAAGCATCACTTTAGCAGGAAAAGAATGTATAAACTTTGTTTATAGTCAAAGGAAAAAAAGCCTAGGAACTTTTAGATAAACATGATAATGATTACTGTGTTTTAAATATCATTTTCTAAGAGTGAATTTCTTAGGAGACACAATATAAAAAGTGAAAAAGACAAGGGAGAAAAGGAAAGGGGTAGGAGAATGGTAGTATTCAAAGGGTAATAACAAGACAGGCATTTTCTATTGAAAATTAGAAATATTTTTAAATGCAGATTAATGGAATTCTTATACTATCAATTTGTTATATTCCCATTATTATTATAATAACTTCTTCCAAGAAATAACAAACCCTCATTTAACAGACTTTCCATTTCCAAAAAGCTTATGGTTGAAAAAAAAAATTCAATTAGCCCCCAATTTCAACATAGCCCTAGTATATAGGTTTATAAGGTTAGCAAGTAATGGTGAAGGAGAAAGAATTTCATTAAAATCTTTGTTTTTTACATCAAAGGCCACCTCTGTTTAAACTTCCAATCAGAATCCTAGCAAATTAAACACTTGGACTAAGAACATGGGTAGTCTTTTCTAAACTAACTCCCTGTGGTTTCCTGCCCATTTAGGTCTATTTTCCTTTGAACTACCTCAGAGATTTTTTGATCTAGTAATTGCCTTACTCAGATTCCAGTAATTTAGGGTTATATTCTGGTTTGATCCTGCCCAGTAAACATAAGCGTAACTACTGGTAAATGGAGAATAAGTTGTATCTCATGCTACTTGTTCTTCAAAACAGTACTCAGCTGAAAGCCCTTAGTTCTGCCCTCATTTCTGCCAGTATATATTTGTGTAATCTTGGGAAGATTAGTAAATCAAGAGTTCACCTCAAAGGTCTGTTATTAGAAACAAGTTAAACAATGAATAAGTGGCAATGACCTTGGAAGACAATCCGTGTAGTATGCAAGTCTTTCAGACTTGCTTCTATACACTACTGATCTTTCAATATTCTTTTTAACTGTTTCTGTTGCTGGAATTAACAAGTGAGATATTTTCTAGCATCATACTCTTACAAGTCTGAAAAACCTGCATACCAACCCTACTCTGACATAAATAACTACATTACCCTAAGCAACCCCTGTTTTTCTTTCCTTATATGCAAAATGGGAATTAGAAAGTCTACCATGCCTGATTTAGATAGATTCACTTGAAGACTGAATAGAACAGAAATTATAAAGTGACTGACAAAATAGATTGTCAATAAATAATTATTAAGAGCAATATATAAGCTTAATCCTACAATTCCTTATAAAAGACATGACAGTCAAACTATATACAAGGGCACCAACATTCTAATCTACTTTGCCTATGACTTAGTCCCATTTTCCCTCCTGTCTTTAAGGTGGAGCCATTTTCTGAAACTGATTCTCATATTGTATTTTAGATTCAATATTAGAATCTTGACTTCAAGACTAATAAATTGTCAATGTAAACCACAATTTGTAAATATGTAATATATGTACTTATGTAAATATATATATTTATATATAATTTATTGAAGTAACACTGACTTACAACACTGCATATGACTGAGAGGTTAGGGCACACCTAACCTCTCAAGTGAATTTGAAAGTTCCAACACTAAAATTTGTAATTTACATGAAGTTTTTTTTATACAGAATTACACCAGCTTATACAAAATTTGTTATTGACCTATTTTATATTTGTGTGCTTATGGAAATGGAAAAGTTTTTTTTTTAATCACTAAACCATCATCACCAAGATGGAAAAGGGAGGAAGAAGACATGAAGGACAAAGGAAGGGAGGTGAGGAAGGGTAGGGGACACATAGTGTGTTGAAAGTAAATCCAAAAAAAATCACAAATAGCCTTAACATTACCATCCAGGAAAGTCTGTTCAAGATAATCAATGATCTGAGTGGCCTCACAAATAATGTTTTCCCCGTGGATAAGGACAGGCACTTCTCCAGTTGAGTTCAAACGCATAAACCAAGGTTCATTGTGTTCACTCAAGGGCAGACTTACATCATGTTCCTCGCACTTCAATGCCTTTTCAGCAATTACCAAGCGCACCTGAAAGAGGTCACACTGGTTACTACAAAGCATGTAAGCTTTCAATTAAAGGACATCCCTGGGTAACACTAAGCAGCTTTCTTTCAACATTCTTTTTAACTTTCTCTATTGCTGGAATTAACAAGTGAGATATATTCTAGCATCTTACTCTTCCAAATTAGAAAAGGTAATAAGTAATGAAATTTTTTCTGGCTATATTAATTCTTTAGCCATCCTCCTTTATTACCACTACTTTTGTTGTGACTTAAATATGATTAAGGGTCACACACACACACAAAGCTGAAATGGTAAGAGGTTAGGCCTTTTTGAAGAAAACCTGAACGAGAAAGAATCAAAGACACTGTAGATCAGATGGTTGCAGGAAGGTGCTTCACTGCCTCACTCTCCAAGGCCCAGGGGACAAAAAAGGCCTGTTTCTGGGTGGGTGGGCCCATAGTCCCAGATGAGACCCAGAGGGAGCTGTCCGGGTGCTGAAATCCGATGCGCCTTGCCCGCCCCTGCAGAGGCCTTTACCTTTTGAGAGCTGAAAGAATGCGTCCAGTGGTACAGAATGAGCTTAACCTCCGAGTCTGACTTTCCTTCCGCCATCAAGGGAACGTCCTCTCTCTGCTTGTCCTGCCTCTGAGCCATTTCAGTGTGCACAAACGGGAAGGGACTCCACTGTCCGCTCTTTATTTCTCCCACCCACAGAGCCACAGCAAACCGTCGTTAGTTTTTCCGCGACGCCTCTGGGAGTCAGGAAAGATGAGTTCAGGGGAACGAAAAGATCACTGGGAAGTGTAGTTTCGCAGCTGAGAAAGCTGCTAAACAGAGTCTGCAAGATGTGGGGGTGTTTGCAGACCGGAAACCTTCTAGAGTGCAAAAGTCACCAAAGAGGTGCAATTGGGTATGTTTTAGGGAAAACAATCTAACATGAGTCACTGAACAATGAGTCAGTGAACAATGAGTAATGTTGATTGAAAATTATCATCATTTTCAGAGAAGGAATAAAAGGTTGTTCAAGTATAAAGGCAGCAATTTCCCAGGATACCTAGAGTTCCTCCTGGAGAGAGCAAATGCCTTTGGCAGGAAAGGAAAGTTCCTGTTGACAAAAAGCAGGAAAGGAAGATCCTGTTAACAAAAAGCAGTATAATAAGGTCTATGTGTTTTCTTTAGAAGATGCTATTATGAAGTCTTGCAAAAATAACAATAAATCTCATAACTAATAAACAAAGGCAAGGTAAAATAGCCTCGCTGTTAAACACATAAATTTTAGAGCAGAACTACCTGCAGATAGCTAGAACAGACTATCTTGTCCTGATTTTTCAATTTTCCCAATTTTTCAAATATAGATGTTTATTTCTCTCACAATGGTTTTGTGAAAACTAAGCAACTAAATACAAAATTAAGCACTCAAGACAGCCTGGCATATTATAGGCACTCAAGTGTATTCACAAATTCAATGGTATTTTAAGCATTCTCTTTTATAAGCATAGTCAGAATCATATATTTTTAGTATTCAAAGTATCTGTAGACTAGATATTATCGTATGCCTCTTAAAATTTGGTATCATAGTCAAGTAAAACAAATCTATAAATAGGTGTTAAATAACAATAAAATGAGTACCTGTATAATTCATTCAGAAAATATTTGTTTAGCATCTACTGCATTCCAAGTCGCTTGACCCTAGAAGTACAAAGATTTGTAAGTGTGAATGCCTGGCACCAAAATATAAGTCTGATGACAGAGTTAACAAAATATACAGACATCTGGAATAGGGGTGAAAACTGTTTGTCTTAAGGTGCATATAGGGTTGTATGAGAAAAGAGGTGTACAACTCAGTACAAGAAAGGCACTCTGGATTTAAAAAAAAAGAAGAAAGAAAACATCATGTGATCCCACCCCTTTAAATACTCATTTGTTTTATCTGTAATTCTTTTTAATTCTTAAAGATTTAATAGTGTTTTTTGTACTTTAAACTTGAAGTGCTGTAGCAAAAGTAGTCATTATTGATTTTCTTTTATCAATTCACTCTTCAAAGTAAAAATGAGAAAAGCAAAACTTGAAAGCCAGACAGTGTGGAGTTTAAATTCTAGCTCAACCCCTAACTTGACCTCGCTTGACCTTCATGTTATCAAGTGTAAAATATGTAGATATAAAAGTATATGACTGCCATGGGAATTCAATGAGAAACAGTATTAAAACATTTAAAACTTTGGTTGGAATATGGCAGTTGATATAAGTATATGTGTAAAAGCCTTCCACTGACATTAAGAAGACATTATAGTAGACTAGCATGTCTCTCTTTAAGATTCAACTACCTAATTAATCCCTCTGCATTCTTCTTCAGAAGAACTATATTTTTAACTCCCCAATTTCAGATTCTGACATATATTTCCTTCATTTACTTAATCACTGCAATATCTGAATAAACTCAATACTCCTAAGAGGCTATCTGTCACTTGCAGCTAGAAATGTCCAAGATATGTATAATGTATGGTATATTGAATATACACAACATAGTACTGTGGGTATATAATGTGAGAAACATTGTTACAATGGCAGCCACATCTTAATATAAAATATACCAAAGTAACATACTGTGCACCTTAAATTTGCAAAACATTACACATCAAATTTACTAATGACTCATCTTTTTTTTAAATTAGCCCTAGCAATAAAGTGCAGGACATCAAGCACTTAGCCTTTTCTCTATCACATTTCCCAACAGCAAATCCAAATAGCAAATGAACTGACTGACTACTGTGTAGGTATTTAATGCAAATATTCATAATCTTGATAGTACAAATGTGTACAGATTTCAGAGTCACCTTATCTATAAAATTATAATTAGAAAACTCTATATAAACAGGTATATAGAGTCTGGAGAATTTCCTTGAGTGAAACAATTATGATTTGCATAATTCATGTCTTTGCTTTGATCAAGTTTAAATTTATATAGAATTTTATGGCTGAATGATGTGTTTATTTATAAAAGTTACCATTGTGTAAAGTGCTATTGCTAATCTTTTGACAGTTATCTGGTAATTCACATGTATATGCTTTTTTAAGTAACATTAACAATATTGTATAAATAACTTTATTAATGTATGTCAACTAGCTACTTTTATAACTTATAACTTTTATAACATAACTTGTTGACAATCCTCCAGGTTTGTTTTTAAAGTACTTTTATGAATGACCACAAGAGGTCTCTATTTTTTAAAAAATAATCAACCTCCTATTTTTTTTTTCTTGAGAATTTAAAGAGTATTAGTAACATTCTCCAAAGAATATTTTAACTAACATATTTAATTCAAACCTTAATTTTCAAAATGAGGGGGGAAAAAAAATCTTTCACATATAAGTAAAATGTAGAATTGTTTCTAATTTATCCAGGTAATAGCAACATTATTTCTAAGCACCCAGGAGCAGCTTTGTCTGATAGGATTTATAAGTGGTGAGCAAAAAGATAACAAAGGAGGGGGGAAAAAAATCTCTATGTAGAAAATTATTGGGGGGTAAGGGTTACTCAAATATGAACAATTCATTTTATCTGATATTCTTAAGCATCTGCTAAAAAGCTACAAAAAAAATCTCACTGAATGAAATAAAAGATGGCTCATCAATTATGTTGATTTGTTAGAAGAATTTCAGTGATTCTTGTTAGTTCTGCACAACTGACTTTTACATTTGATTGCTCATCGTGGTTTTCAAAGTGTGGTTTCCTAACATGCCCATTTGACTGAATCAAAAATTCTAGAGGTGAAACCCAGTAATTGGTATTTTTAAAAGCCTCTAGTTTTTCACTTTGGTAAAAACATCCATAAGTTTATCTGATCAACATTTAATTTTAAGAACTGGCCCTCCCTGGTGGTGCAGTGGGTTAAAGCAACAGTGTAAGAAGCTAAAGCCACTTCAGCATGCGTTCAATCCCTGCCCAGCAGTCCATATGGCATGGCAGACCTCTCCTGACTCGCCCACTGCTCCCCTCAGCAGTGTGCTTAGTCAATCTGCCTGTTCTGCTTCCCACTATGTCTCTGGTGAATCCTCTCACCGTCCCTGCTCCTCTGGCCTGTTCTGTGTGAATAAACAAATAAATAAATAAATCTTTTTTTAAAAAAATTAAGAACTACCAAATTAGGGCATAACTTATGAACCATCCTAATTCTCAGTTCCTGGTTTGCCCCATCTATAAAATTTGTAGAGCAGAATAGTCTAAGAAAATCAGTCTGACTATGGTACATGGAAGAAAAGATCATTTGGAACCACTTCCACAAAATAGCCTCCTAATGTCCATGATGCCAACCCACCAGTAAATGTTCACAGGCTCAAGATGCTAAGATTCCTTCACTTTCTCCTAAAAAAAAAAGTTACTCTCTACAGGCTTCTAAGTAAAAGCCTCTATGACCTTAGAATAGCCCAGAATTGCTTTTGAAACTCTAAAATGTTTCCTGTGGAATTTCTTGTGTCTCAGAGCAAATAATCATATTTAATACCAACTGGAACTTATTAACTCAGCTATGAGGTTGCTGTAGGCTTGTAATAGTTTAATTAACCTTCTAACTTTCAAAGCATAATGACTACTAGTAAATAAATTCTTTATTTCTCAATAGAAAATTCACTATAGATAATATTTCTGATGGAAAGGATTTCACATCTCTGCTGAATGATATACAATTCAGAATATAGACATAAAAATGGATCAGTGTGCAACTCAAACAAAGATACCTGTGTAACATATGGTTGCTAACATTTTTTGAAGTGCTTACTCTGTGTCTGAAACTATGTTAAGGGTTTGTTTTCTTTTTTTTTAATGTATATTCTATTTAACACTTGTAAAGTCCCTTAAAGCTGGGAGAAATGACATCCCAGTTTTATACATGATGATATTGAGGCACTAAAACATCAAGAAATTCCAATAAGTTCATACTATTGGTGTCAAAATTCGGATTTAACCTCAGGAGTCTGTCTAGAGGTCATGCATGCTCTTACCACCAAAAGATGTAGTCTTAGCACATGAAGGCAGAGAATTACCACCTGTGTTTTATTAGTCTTATATGCAAACATAAACTATACCTTTAGTCACTGTTTTGCTTCAGAAATGTTTGTCCAACCTTGCTGAGAGTTCTTAAAAAAATAGAAACCTTAAGGACCAGAGTAGCAAAAATAGCCTCCTAAAATTAAATCAGTACTTACTACAAATTTGTACCAATATACCCCTAATATCAACTTTGCTTCTAAAAGTTTACAAAGTGCTTTAAAAACAATACTTATTTGATTTTCTCAACAATCCCCCTTAAGGACATACAGAATCAGCACTGGGATTGGAAGTTAACTACCCCATTCATCATGGCTAGAGAGGGAACTGAAAGGCAAGACTCCTCCCTCCAAATCCTATGCACACCTTCCATAACCCACCACTTCTGCAAGGCCACCACTTGCAGACCTACTCCAGAGTCTTCCATTCCTTATGTATTATATCACAGTCTGATTTCTGTATGGTTTCTTGACTATGCAATGAAGGGTTTGCACATGATGATTCAGTCCTATGGGATCCTTTCTTTGAGTGTAATGACTAAAATTATATTTGACTGTGTGTTTTCAGCACTTTAACTTGGCTTTCTCACCATTCCAGAACAAGAAGAGCTCGGACACAAAAAACAGAACTGGATTCAAATCCTGACTCCACTATTCACCAGCTGTGTGATGACCATGGGCACAGTTTCCTGACCAATAAACTAGGTAAAAGCATACACTTTCATAGGGG